GCTGACAAAACTTCTTTACTAGTTAGTCGGTCATAAAATTAAGAAGGTGAAGGAATATGGAGACTTGTCGTCTTCAACTTTGATATTTTAACTTATTTTCATATATATTTTCTTTAATGATATACCTGAAAAGCGCTGACGTGAACTCTCGTTAGGAAGAACCAAATAGGGTTCAAGAAGATTTTGTATCATCCAGACACTACCATGTCACGCAGTAACACAAGGGATATAGTTTCTGTCAGTACAGTAGGTGAGTGCTAAGCTTGCAAGTGGTTAGTGATTATCCATCTATCCAAGCTCTATGCAATTTGAGAATATTTCTCGTGCAGATAACCAATGGGTCGCAAAGAAAGATTTACACGGCACCTATCCACTTACAGACTTGTAATCATTACCTTGAACTCTCTCACTATAAATAAAGGACATCCTTCTCATCTACGAGATTGGCTAATCTTAGTGTAAAATAACTTACACATTCTCTCTCTTTTTGTATTCTCTCTAGATTATAACTCAGCTCACTACATGCGATCTAATTTTATTCATCTATTAATACAATAGCAATGGATGTAGGATTTACTTTTCAGCATCCGAACCACTTTAAATATCGCTTCTCATTCATTGTTTCATTTCATGTTTCCTTATCACGTGTGATTTTTAAGTCCGCTTAATACTTTACACGTGTGAGTCTTTGGTGTCAAAACTAAGTATCAACATTTAACATTAAGTAAAGAATATATATTTGAATATTTTATAATTTTTGTGGTGCTATTTAGTAATAATTCGGAAAAGATAATGCAAACAGAACAAAGTGAGACAGGCCCGGCTTAAGGGGTAGGCAGGTGAGGCACCTGCCTAGGGCCCCAAAATAACAAGTTTGTACCTCTAGTTTTATGTATTCTAGTTTATACCCCTAAATTAACACATTGAATCTCTTTTAACAATGGAAGACTAAAATAGTTATTTACATATCTCAAATTACTCACCCCTAATTCAATCCCAAAATTTGACATTCATATAAATCATCTCCAACCCTCTTCTGCCGCCAGTGGTTTGGAGTTGATTTCGGTCAATTTTCTCACCAAAATCGACCAAAATCATCATTTTATCATTTCCCAACCTTGATAAACCTCGATTTGACTAATTTTTTATGAATCTCGCAACCCAGCTCCACCACACGATAGCCATTTTCAGCCTTTTTGGCATGTACTCGACATTGTTGGCCTTCCCCGACACCACCATCTTCCTCCCCTCAGCCCTCTCACCAAAACCCCTATCATACCTTATCTGTTTACTCTGCCAATCGCCGGCCATCAATACCTTTTGGGTCGTGACTTCTCAAGCATTTTCTTATCAATCTTAGCATTGGAAATCACCCATTTCACCACTCATCACTTCTCCAACATCTACTCTCCAAAACCCCCTACTAACCTAACCTTGTTAGCCTACCGGTTGCTGTCCACTTTTCCTAGTGATTTTTTATCTCAAAAGGCAAAAAAAAAAAAAAAATAATAATAATAATAATAATAATAATAATAATAATTTTTTTAATATATGCTTATATTATTAGAGGGCCCCAAAGTAACTCATGCCTAAGGTCACAAATGTTCTAGAGACGGCCCTGAAGTGAGAGAATTGAGAGACGTGAGGAATGTTTAGTACTATATCAAAATATTGGATTGCTTTGAGATGGAAAGTATGGATTAAATAAAAGCGATGGGCTGCATTTATAATTATAGCCAATGCCGCCCCCCCCTACTTTCACCGCCTCAAATAAAGGGGATGGATGACCGCCGATGTTTTTACAACAGAATATAATTAATTAACATAAAGTGTCTCATGAATTATATTATTTTATCCTAATTTTTTGACTTGTAAAAAGGAATTGATCACAATCAAAAGACGGATACAAAATTGAATACTTTAATCCCCATTTCTCATATTTAATGAAGTAGATACATCAATGCAACTTGCTGCCAAAGTTATAGGAGTCAATTACTTTCTCCTCGGTTCTCTTGGATATTCACATTTCACACGAGCAAAAGCTGCAAAACTACAATGTAGTCGGCATATATTTTCGAGGAAACTACATATTTTGATGAGGTTTGACAAAATCTTAAGTTACATTTATTCTAGATTCTCCAAATCTAGTGTGAAAAAATGTAAAGTTTTATGAAATTTCATCGCTAATTACATTTTCGCAAGTAAAATATGACTTGTAATTTACAAATATTGTATAATAAACCACTTGGTTTATATGTCGTCGAATGACAAGACTTTAATTATTTAGGTACGGTACTTTAAGGTCTTGTATTCGGGTCTTATAAAACACATTTGTGACTTACTTGGTTTATTGAATTTGTAGGGCATTCAATGGATTTTAGAGATTAATTAAGGTGTAAGCACGGTAATCCAACCAGTTCGATTATCTCAAAAAAAAAAAAAAGAATATTGTATAGTAGCCAAAACATTGAGAGTTCAAAATACTATTTCTTTAGAAGCCGCTACATATATAATATTTTATCCATCGACAAATAAATTCTGGCTGGGGTGGTGGATTATTGCAATCTAATAATTATTTATGAAAATGGGTAACTAGCGATGAAATTTCATAAAACTCTACTTTTCCCACCACAGGTTCCACTAAACCTAGGGTGTGAAAATGTATTTCGACCTATTTTATATTTATTAAATTAAATAAGAGTATTCTTTAGATTTTTATGAAAAATTTAGGTTTCGTTTATTTCATTATTTTCTACCATGTTTCCAATCATATTCTCAAAATAACTATTTGTTTTATTATTTAGGAGATACTATTATATTATATTTAATTATTTTTAGACCTCTTAAGTTTATTAATTTAATTACACACCTTAGAAAAAAAAGTTTAAAAATTAACAAAAACACCTCCATCAGCTACATTAAATGCATTATATAGACATTCAAAAAATTTAACCATTTTCAAAAAATATATATAAAGATAAAAAACAGTCAATATAAAACCTGAAAATAAACTCAATATAAATTTTAAGTTTAAATAATTAATCTTTATAATATTAATTGATATTAATAATTATAAAGATATAATTATTAATTTTATGTTAACACAATCATCTACATATATAAAAATTATATTTACGTTAAAACTTTTATATATATATATATATATATATATTATTTTTATACCCTGTGCGGACCCGATACCTAATTATTGGAATAAAAGTAAATGTATCAATTAATGCAACCAGAAATCAATTACTTCTCCTCGGTTCTGTTGGATATTCACACTCCACACAACCAAAAGGCTGCAAAACAGTCGACATACATTTTCAGATAATATTAAGCGCTGATAATTAGTGGCCCTCCTTGTCCCTACGTGGTGGCTCCTACGTCCAGACGAGACTCATTTTGAGTTTGAAAACTCAATCATGAACGATTATCAAATCACGTAACATATCATATCATATCATATCATGAATTAAAAACGTATTCAATAATAATATACCTATAAATAAATCTTAATATAATATAAAATAATAAAAAATAAAACAAAAAATCAAATTTATTAAATTCACTCATTCATTTATTTTTTACCACATCACTTTGTATAAAGATCTTTGTAAAATTACTTTATAAATATAGTATTACTCAAAATATAATTTTATGAATACTGTGTCATTAATAAACTATAATTTAAAATATTAATAAAAATTAATATACCCTCAAAATTAATTAACGAATTTTATGATATTATTAGTTTTAAATTATGATATTCATAATCAAAATTAATCAGAAAATTAAGAATTTGTATCATTTCTCTCAGCCATTCATATCATTTCTAAGATCAATATCATTATATAAATCTTCACTTGTATTATTATTATCATGTAAAATAGGCATTATATCTTCCTCTTCACTTTCTTCATGTAAAATCGATAAATTTAGATGGGTTTTAGTAAACCAGGTTGGGCGATCCAGATCCAACCCGAAAATTTTATTGGCCCTTCAGCCTAAATTAATAAAATCGTATTGATATTTTTAAATATATAAACCGATACGTATCGTTGACAACTCGTATCGAATCGTAGACACAGAGGGGATTAATTAAACTTAAATACTAAAAATCCCCACGTCTGGGTTTGTTAAGCCTAGTAGACACAGAGGGGAAGGGTACGCCCTAAAACATGTATAAACAGCAGACAGGTCATTTATGCTAGGGGTGGAAAAAAATGGGATCAAAACCGAATCAAAAATTCAATTTTTTTTAACGGTTTTTCCCACCCCTAATTTATGCAACAATGTACATCAACAAAACAGACACAACAAATTTGATGGAAAAAACAGTTATAAAAATTTATCCCTACTGAAATTAGTGCAAAGGGAGCTGAATACTAAAGCTGTGACTGCAGAATAACACACAAAACTAAGACTGGTAAAACCAGTTCCTAATTGCCAAACAAATAGATCATTATGAAAAAATGGAATAGCACAAGTGGAGTTACATAGGTATCGATTTTGATGGGAGGAGGAATCAGTGGAGCTAAATTGAGACAAAAGCACTAATAATGAAACTGAGAGAACAACTGTCAGGAAAAAAAAAAAAAAAAACTACTCCATACTTGGGAAGTCATATAGCAAGATATGGCTTCTTAAAAACGCCACTTTTTTTTTGACTAAATATGTCCCAATTAAAAGCTCCAACCACAATAAAATCCTAAAATTATACGTGGATACACTTGTAAGTAAATATTGAAACGTTGTTGTGTGTACACAGAAGAGCTAGATAGTCACAAAATCAATAACAAGAAGAAGCTGAAATGAAGTAGATGAAGAAGCTGGAATGAAGTAGATGCTGATCTCTTACTAGTGGGAAAAAGGGAATAGGATGGTTTTTTTCACTTCCTAAACCAATTTTAGCTCAAAGGGAATAGGAAGTACTAAGTGTTTGATTAGTGAAAGCTTTGATCAGAGGCAGCATTCCCAGTTTGGCTAGTTACAATGTAATGGCTGATGATCTATATAATGAAGGTAGGATTGGTGAGCGTTATAAATTGCTTGACGAAATGCAAAGTAAAGGCTTTTGGCCATCGCTGGTGATTTATCAGGCAAAATTGGCTGCTTTGTGTAAAGAAGGTATGGTTGATGAAGCGGTGAAGGTGGTTGAAGAGGAAATGGTGAAAGGAACTTTAGTGCCCACTGTTAAAGTGTATAATATCTTGTTGAAAGGCCTATGTGATGCAGGAAATTCAAAAGTTGCAGTTGGATATTTGAACAAGATGGCTAAACAGGTTGGCTGTGTTGCTAATGAGGAAACATATGGCATTTTAGTGGATGGGCTGTGTAGAGATGGTAGTTTTATTGAAGCGAGTAAGATTTTGAGAAGATGCTGATTAAATCTTATTGGCCTTCTGTTCGCACTTACAATGTGCTTATAAGAGGTCTTTGCTCAATAGGCAGGCAATATGAAGCAATGCTATGGTTGGAGGAGATGATCAGCCAGGGGAAGCAGCCAGAGCCTCCTGTTTGGAGCTGCTTGGTGGCATCTGTATGCTGCAATATGGCTGACATGAATATTTGTTATAAGCCCTTTGAGCAGCGAAGTGTTGGTGATGCAAAAAGGCCGGAAAGATGAGAAATCGCGCAAAAACTCAGGTGGTGATTGGCAGATGCACCAGGCTCGGGGTGAACGAATTAAGGGTGAGAGAGGCTCAAGGAAGAGGATGGAGGAGGTGGTGAGTTTCAGGTTGGATTTCCAACACCGAAAAAGACCGAAAATCCGGTTGCCATGTGAATTGAGGTGGTGGTGGGAAATATTGAGTGATGACGACAAATAGAGGCTTGGGCTTTGCAGAGGAGGTGATGGGGATTCTATGGGCGATCTTGAAAGTGATTTTGGATGTTGGGATCAGCTGAAAAAGGGCAAGAACCACCAAATGTTTGTTGACCTGATGAAGTTTGAGAATTCTCACAATTGTATTACCTTTCAACTTTCAGAATTTTAAACACTACACTTACAGTCGTATATCACAGAATAAATACGAATTTTCAAAAACTATTCTAAGTAAGAATCCTATAATAAATGCTAGCTGTTACGGAGAAATAAATGTAATATTTGATTGATGTCACACCCTTGATTTTAGGCTAAGAATCTCTTTCCACTCTCTCTGCTTGATCTGAGGGATTTGCTTGATTTTTGGTTGCTTCCATTATACGCCCCTGCAAGATAGAGCTGCCGTCAGCTCAGCCTATCTTGTTTCTCAGCATTTCTGTTTTTTGACGTGAAAGTGCTTTTGTCAAAAGGTTAGCTAACTGGTCTTGTGTGTTCACATGGTGAACATTGAGAATTCCACGTTGGACCATGTCCCGCACAAAATGAAAATCAATCTGAATGTGTTTCATTTTTTAGTGTTGCACGGGATTGAAACTAAGGTGCGTGGCCCCCAAATGATCACATAGCAGTTTAGGTTTGCTGGGCATTGGAAGACTGAGTTCTTTGAATAGGGAAAGTAACCACACAGTTTCTGAAGCTACATTTGCTAAGGCTCTGTATTTGGCTTCAGTGGATGATCGTGCTACTGCCCTTTGCTTCTTTGAACTCCAAGAAATTGGGTTTCCACCAGGAAAGCTTATATATTCTAAAGTGGAGGTTCGATCATCAAAGTTTCCCGCCCAATCCGCATCAGAGTATGTTATGAGTTCAAAGCTTGATCTTTTTCTGATATGAATTCCATGAAAAATGGTTTGCTTTATGTAGCGAAGTAGTCGCTTTGCAGTTGTCCAATGAGTCACTATTGGTTTGTGCATAAACTGTGAAAGTTTATTCATTGCAAGGGAGATATTCGGGCAGGTGAGGGACATGTATTGAAGTGCACCAATGACACTTCTAAACTCAATGCTGTTTGTGGAAGATGTTCCATCCATCAATTTCAGAGTTGTACTTGTTGACAGGGGGGTTGAGGCATCCTTTGCACCAGACATGTTTGTGTTAGACAAGAGGTCCCGGATATACTTGTGTTGAGATAGGAAAATTCCAGTTTTTGTTGGAGTTACCTCGATTCCCAAGAAAAAATGGAGCTGCCCCATGTCTTTTAAAGAAAAATGATTTCCAAGTTGTGCAATAATCTCAGCCACAAAGTCGATGACTAGAGCTGCAACATTAAGGGTGAGTTGAAACTGAATGAATTTTTGGATGTTATAAAAACATCGTCCCCACCTTAGAACAGTAACCACAGTTGTAAAGTTATTATCCAATATGATGACATCTGAGCTTTCCTTGGCATCCTCGGACCCGCACTTGCCCATCAAAAATCCTGTATGAGCTTCTTTTAGGGCATTGGCATCATAGGCGCCATTTCCAGTCACTGCCCCCACATGATTTTTATCTTTCAAACACTTTACCATCAGAAGTTTGTCAGCTGGAGTAGCCCTTGCCAATACCCGGATCTTATCAACCTTTTGCATTCTCTCTTCATCCGTATAGTCACGAAATTGTATGCCTTCTACCACCTCATCA